GCCTCAGCGCCTTTTTTTTTTTTTCCCTAATGTGCACGTTTTAAGTTGAGTCCCTTCTTTTGTCACTGAATAAGTGAAGTCCACGTACTGATTATTCCATTATTTGAGAGTCAGAATTGTATATTACTGTATTCACTCTGATGCAGTTTACCATCTGAGAGGAATAATTAAAGCTTTCTCTTGCTTAGGATTTAAACAAGTGTTTAAAATGAGATCATACTTTCACAGTGGTCGTAGTTTCTTTATATGTATATGTGGGGTAGCCTCAAAAATTGCTGTATGATGTGATGGTGTGTCATGATGTGTTTCCTTTAATTATACATTTGTTCTGAGAAAGATGGTTATTCTAGGCCTTTTTCTTTTCTCACTTATATCCTTACAACCTCACGGTAGTGGGAGGTGTGCATATCTTACTGTGTAGCTGAACCATATGTGTTATTTATTTATATCTCACACATGAAATCAGCCATTACAAACAGATCATTTCTGTGCTGGCAATTTTAAAATAAATGCAAGTGTGTATACAGTTCTTTCTCACTAAATGAGGATATGACAAGTTGCCAGTCACTGTGCTTTGTAAAGCTCTTGTTTGTTGAGTCAAGGTAGAGTGTAAGGTTGTGCCTGTCAGATGTTTCAGACACTCAAGAGTTCATTAACGCTTACTGACCATTGTGATGAAAATGTGTTTTCAGCTCCTCTAGATAGGAGGGCCGCCTTTACTCAGCCTATATTGTGTCATTCCATATGAAGTCACCTCCAACTGCATGGAGATAAATGTTGTAATTTCTTTGTAGCGACGGCCTATTTTCTTTGCATTATAAATGCAGCTGTATGCGCTGTAAGGCTACTTATGCCATCTTAAAATGACAGTTTTGTTCCAAATGCCTGAATTCTCTGTATACCTGATTCCATAAAATCACTGAGCATCTGTATACATACAGAATGAAACACTGACTTTTAAAAAAAGCACACACAACAATATCGCGAATGTTCCATCAACATAAATTTTAGCTTTTGAAGTTATTTAGCTCCTTATAATTTACTTATTTGGGGGAGTTAGTGATGTACATGCATTTAATTCTGGTGTTATCAAGTCTGTTTGAATTGATGGGAACGTTCTGTTGAAATTTACTACAGAAATATGAAGCATGCGATTCACCAGAGAAACAGCCCAAGCAATCGCACTAGCAGTTGAACTAACACATCATGTTCTCATACATACACAGCATATAGCCAAAAGATGACAGCATGCTAATGGCTTTTGGACAAAAGCAAAGTCAAATATATGCTTAACAAACTTCACCTGTAAAAGTTACTGTGTGAATAAAGAGCAACTTACTGTAATCCGTTAGAGTTACTATAGCTCATGCTTTCCTTTTCAGTGTATGCCACAGGCATTAAGTAGTTAATACTATAGGCCCAAATCCTGTCATACCTGTGCAAGAAGAGGTCTGAGAAAATTGCCTTTGTTCCAAGATAGGCTTCAATTTTACTCTGATATAAATAATTTATGAGCTATTAAGGAGTATTCTTTGAGTAACTTACAGTGCGAAGTTCAGTAACTTTTGGAAGTTAAGGAGAACATTACCTTTGGCTGTAGGGAGGACTGTTTATTCCAGTATGCGGTGTGACCTAAGCTGAGAGGACTAACATAGTGTTACAAGATTGCATGGTTCTCAGAAGTGACTCCCTCCGTCATGTGCAAGCACACACACGCTTGAATGCACTGTAATTGTCCTGTAACTATTTTTTGGCTGAGGAAGTCCTCTTTGCAGCCCCTTTTTGAAAGGAGGTTGGGGCTTGCAAGGTTTACAGAATTGAAGTTCAATACTTAATGGTAACAAATGCAAAGGAATCTGTCACCCTTTACTGTTAGAAATTATCTCGTTACTAAGCTGTAACTATTCTTTTGTTTGTGTTACTCTTAAAATTTTGAAATGCTGGTTCCATACAGGGATTTTAGACATGTAAAAGAACATAGATCGCTTTCATGAATATTAAACAAACAAACAAACAAAAACCCCATGCACCAGCTAAGAAAGCCAACCAGATCGCTTGAAACATATTTATCTTCGCCCAGCTTGTTTCTACAATTGTAGATGCGGAACGCCGTGCCGAGCGGCTCCTTTGCGCCAAGCCCGCGCTCGTTGCCGCGCACGCAAGG